TGAAAAAACTTAGAATTTTAGGGTATCTAAACAAGACCCTATACAACAAAGTGCGCGTACCTGGCTCAGTTCAGCGGGTCTTACTAAGATATAATTGTTTTATTCGCTTGGCTAATAAGCCATGGCTCAAAGTACTGATTGGCTGATTTATCGTGAGAGAAAAATACTGTTCGTTGGCTGAAAAAGTACGGCTTATAAGCCAAGCGAACAGGGCGAATGGCGAATTCAATTGGAAGGCTCGTGCTGAAGGCAAACTAAATTTCTTTGCGTGGCTGTTGGGGCAGGCAAAAATCTTAACGGCTGATAAACTTCTGCTGAGGCATTGGCCTTGCAACCCAATCTGCTCACTTTGTGACCAGGAAGCGGAAACAATGGTCCATATTTGCATTCACTGTCCATGTGCAAAGGAAGTCTGGATGCTAGTAAAAAATTGGGTTGGAGATCACATTGTCCTCATTGATGACGCCGTATAGACTTTGAAAATCTGGTGGGAGAAATCACTGCAGGGGAGATCAGCAGCTTAGCAGAAAACCACGGCAACCCATCTTGATGTACTTGGCTTGGAATATCTAGAAAGAGCGCAACCGGAGAACTTTCAAGGGGACAACGAGAACACCGACCCAAGTAGTGGGGCTGATAAGTAAGAGCTGGCCTCCTCAGTAAAGCTTTGGGAAAATTAGAGTTGTCACTATGAGTATCCTCTTTCTTATCTCTATGTTTATGAGTTTGAGTGGTCTTAATAATGTAAGAACCAAATTGTTGTAACTGGTTTGCTTCCGCCTTATATGATACAGCAGTGCTCCTGCTAACTTTTCCAAAAATAAATATATACCTTCGTATAATTGGCTAGATTGGTGTCAAGTGACAATAATCAAATCCACCTATTTTTGGCACTGCTAGCCTGCTAAATCTCAGGAAAGGTTCATGGAAAGTAGAGTGATACGCATAATCCCCCAGTGATGTGGCATAATCTTTTTGTGTTGATATTTGTGGCAAACCGTGTTTAGTTTCTCCTTTCTCTAAGCGGATCAACGGCAAATCCGCAAAGAAATTGAAACTGATTAACGGCAGATGACGACGTGTTGGGGTTGAAGTCCAAGTTGGCACAATTGGGCAGTACGGTCGATAGGAACCAAGCACAAGAACCAATCGGGTTGGAGATCACATTGTATTCATTGATGACGTCGTATAGACTTTGAAAATCTAGTGAGAGAAGTCACTGCAGGGGAGATCAGCAGCTTAGCAGAAATCCACGGCAGCCCATCTTGATGTACTTGGCTTGGAATATCTAGAAAGAGCGCAACCGGAGAACTTTCAAGGGGACAACGAGAACACCGGCCCAAGTAGTGGGGCTGATCAAGTAAGAGCTGGTCTCCTTAGTAAAGCTTTGGGAAAATTAGAGTTCTCACTATGAGTATTCTCTTTCTTATCTCTATGTTTATGAGTTTGAGTGGTCTTAATAATGTAAGAACCAAATTGTTGTAACTGGTTTGCTTCCGCCTTATATGATACATCAGTGCTCCTGCTAACTTTTCAAAAATAAATATATACCTTGGTATAATTGGCTAGATTGGTGTCAAGTGACATTAATCAAATCCACCTATTTTTGGCACTGCTAGCCTGCTAAATCTCATGAAAGGTTCATGGAAAGTAGAGTGATACGCATAATCCCCCAGTGATGTGGCATAATCTTTTTGTGTTGATATTTGTGGCAAACCGCGTTTAGTTTCTCCTTTCTCTAAGCGGATCAACGGCAAATTCGCAAAGAAATTAAAACTGATTAACAGCAGATGATGATGTGTTGAGGTTGAAGTCCAAGTTGGCACACTTGGGCAGTACAGCCGATAGGAACCAAGCACAAGAACCAATTGGGTTGGAGATCCCATTGTCCTCATTGATGACGCCGTATAGACTTTGAAAATCTGGTGGGAGAAGTATCAGCAGCTTAGCAGAAAACCACGGCAGCCCATCTTGATGTACTTGGCTTGGAATATCTAGAAAGAGCGCAACCGGAGAACTTTCAAGGGGACAACGAGAACACCGGCCCAAGTAGTGGGGCTGATCAAGTAAGAGGTGGTCTCCTCAGGAAAGCTTTGGGAAAATTAGAGTTATCACTATGAGTATCCTCTTTCTTATCTCTATGTTTATGAGTTTGAGTGGTCTTAATAATGTAAGAACCAAATTGTTGTAACTGGTTTGCTTCCGCCTTATATGATACAGCAGTGCTCCTGCTAACTTTTCCAAAAATAAATATATGCCTTCGTATAATTGGCTAGATTGGTGTCAAGTGACAATAATCAAATCCACCTTTTTTTGGCACCGCTAGCCTGCTAAATCTCAGGAAAGGTTCATGGAAAGTAGAGTGATACGCATAATCCTCCAGTGATGTGGCATAATCATTTTGTGTTGATATTTTTGGCAAACTGCGTTTAGTTTCTCCTTTCTCTAAGCGGATCAACGATAAATTCGTAAAGAAATTAAAACTGATTAACGGCAGATGACGACGTGTTGAGGTTGAAGTCCAAGTTGGCACACTTGGGCAGTACGCCCGATAGGAACCAAGCACAAGAACCAATTGGGTTGGAGATCACATTGTCCTCATTGATGACGCCGTATAGACTTTGAAAATCTGGTGGGAGAAGTCACTGCAGGGGAGATCAGCAGCTTAGCAGAAAACCACGGCAGCCCATCTTGATGTACTTGGCTTGGAATATCTAGAAAGAGCGCAACCGGAGAACTTTCAAGGGGACAACGAGAACACCGGCCCAAGTAGTGGGGCTGATCAAGTAAGAGGTGGTCTCCTCAGGAAAGCTTTGGGAAAATTTTTGTTATCACTATGAGTATCCTCTTTCTTATCTCTATGTTTATGAGTTTGAGTGGTCTTAATAATGTAAGAACCAAATTGTTGTAACTGGTTTGCTTCCGCCTTATATGATACAGCAGTGCTCCTGCTAACTTTTCCAAAAATAAATATATACCTTGGTATAATTGGCTAGATTGGTGTCAAGTGACAATAATCAAATCCACCTTTTTTTGGCACTGCTAGTCTGCTAAATCTCAGGAAAGGTTCATGGAAAGTAGAGTGATACGCATAATCCTCCAGTGATGTGGCATAATCTTTTTGTGTTGATATTTGTGGCAAACCGCGTTTAGTTTCTCCTTTCTCTAAGAGGATCAATGGTAAATTCGCAAAGAAATTAAAACTGATTAACGGCAAATGACCACGTGTTGAGGTTGAAGTCCAAGTTGGCACACTTGGGCATTACGGCCGTTAGGAACCAAACACAAGAACCAAAAACTCCCACATGTAAAGAAATGCAGATATCCACGTGTTACACCTCATGCATTTAACGACTCTGACCGTAATCATTTTCACCAAGCTAGTACGTACCAGTATGATTGTTGGAAAAACTTAATTGTCGCCATTTGAAGAAAGACGTACAGCCAAGTTTTTTTTAAAAGAACGGCAAAAACTTTGCCATGATTTCTATTAGACGAAGAAATAAAAAAAAGCAAGTGTCCACCTAATTTTTTTAATAGAAACTAGGCCAAAAAAAACATACAACTAAGGAGAGTGCACTTATCCTATACAACTTTGGTGCAACTGCACAACTATCCAAACTCACTACCTGCTCAAACTTGATCGAATCGACCCAACTAACAACTCAAAACAACTAAAAAGGACAAAAAAAAATGGTGACCTGCCGAGGGAAGGTTTGCACCACCAAGGCCTGCCTAACAATGCCTCCAAGGAGGAATCGACACTAAAAGCGCCGATAAGGTAGCCCGTCAAGGGAAGGTTTGCACCTACAACATGCAGTACGGTAGGAGGAGAGGTAGGAAAGGACGCCTCCAAGAAGGGAACGACGTCCGACAAACGTCGTCGTCCAAGTTTTCTCCCCGACCTCAACAACCTCCACACCATCGCCCCAGAGACCCGACCCTACCACGGAGGCAGGGTGCAGCGATGGGTCAGCAGCAGCCCCGCCCATCTGTCGCAAAAAAACCTATGGATGCCGGCCAGGAGAAGCCCATCAGAGAGACCGCCTCCGCCGGACGCCTAGACCCAGCAAAGCTGGCCAGCAGTAAGTAGGTCCGGCCGGCCAGCTCCGCCGCAAAAAGCCAGCCCAAGGAAGGGGAAAGGCAGAAGACGGAGAGAAGAGGGCTGGGATCAGAAGAAGCCCCAATCACCCAGCCCACCCATTGTGTATTTGAATTCAACGATCACCTCACGTTGCAAGAATTCACTTAGGGATTGTTCGGTTATGCTGGAATGGGGCGAGAAACCATTCTAGTTGATCAATTACTATACAAATTAGTCAATCATTCCAACTGGGCATGGTTCCTAGACAACGGAACGATCCCTTAATCAGAGAGGACAGGAACTTGGGTCCTTCAAAAATCAAAATTGAGCTGTTGAATCCAATGAAGAGTCCCAATGTGAAACCACACACACACCCATGACCAGCTAATTCAGCAATCACCACCTAATAAGCTTAAAAGAGGCTGCTGGATTGGACCACGGCTGAAACAAATATTTCCTATTATCCGATGCCTGATTAGTTGGTGTGGACCAGTAATCCTGAATCAGGGTTTTTTCTTGCTTTCACTTCTCACCTTGCCCTTTGGCCTTTTCCGGACCGCTACCTGTGTTTCCAGTCGTTTCGGCTACTGTCAATATTTTAGGAGGAAATAGCGTTGTCCCTGGATGATCTGTCATGGCTTTCTCCAGCTCCAGCTTGCCAGAGTAGCAGCTGCCGTCTTTGCGATTTTTACTAGTAGTCTAGTACAGTGGGTGCGCCAATTTCATATAGGCAAATTGGCTAACGCTATGCCCTACACACCTCTGCGTCATTACACGATTCGCTGTTGTGACGACACTTTTGTCCATTTCCTCTGATCGGCTCGATTCGATCCGCCACTTGTTTCAGAGAAATCCGAAGGGAGCAGCAGAGTGAGCAGGCACAGAGGGGCCGGGCAAGCTCCGGGCAGGGAGAGAGATGAGGAAGCCCAGGCTGGGTGGCTGCGGTCTCCTCCATGGCTGTGTCTCGGTCTCCCCTGTGCTGCTGTTCTTTCTGCTGCTTGCGAGCTCTTGGAGGGCGGCTGCGCAGGCTCAGCAGGCGCCCCAGACTGATCCGGTTGAAGGTATTTGTCTCGCTCGACAGAGCTCTGTAAGTGATGGTCGTTCGTGCGTCGATGAGAGGATTGACTTGGCTCTGGACAGCGGCGGCGGTGAACGCGATCCTGAGCAAGCTGGGGCTGAGCGCGCCGTCATCGTGGAACATCAGCGGGAACCCCTGCAGCGGCGCGGCGACGGACGACACATCCATCGACGACAACCCGGCGTTCAACCCGGCCATCAAGTGCGACTGCTCCGACCGAAACAACACGCTCTGCCATGTCACCAGGCTGTGAGTCCGTGTCCGTCCAGTCTCCAGAGCTGCTGCTTGCGAATGTCCATGCTCCCTTTGCTTCTCTATCTCTCCAGAACAAGGACAGATTCATCAGATTGTTGTTTCCCCCTCTGATGGTGGTGATGCAGGAAGATAAACACGCTGGACGCGGTTGGCCCCATACCAGAGGAGCTGCGGAACCTCACTCACCTCGTTAAGCTGTATGTCCTGCCTAAAACTCGTCTCTCAGTCTAAGGCATGTACTCCTTTTTTTTTCTTCAATTATTTGCCAGCTGCTTAAGGTCCCTTTTTTTTGCCACGAATGGGATTATTTCTGTAGAAATTCCAAACTTTGCAGTGTTCACGAGATTTCATGTTGAAGTTCGACAAATTTTTGCCACGAATGGGATTATTTTCCGCTACACCAGTCCAGCCCCCATCCCTCAAAAGAAAAAGAAAAAGAAAAAACAGTCCAGCCCCCGAAATGGCGGAAGCTCGCCGGCCGCCGCCGCCGTCGTTGGGCGCATGCCATTGCCATTCGACGGCGCAGACGGCCGGGTGTCACTTGCCTTCCGGAGAAACGAGGAGTGCTCCGCTCGTGTTCCGACTCCAAGCTCGGTAGCTTGCTGTGATGCCCCCGCAAAATTTATTTTATATTTTTTATGAAGAATTTCCCCGCAATTCCAACTTCCAAGCTCATTGTAACCTAGGATAGTGGTATAACCCATCGTTGTACCTGTCCCCTATGCGTCTCTTCAGCATCCACAATCACACTGGCCAATTTCTTTGCCTGCTGATTTTTTTGTGCCTTGGCCAGTGTCCATGACCACACATTTATGCTCTCTCTTTTCAGAATTGGGGTAATGCCGTACGCATAATGTTTGTTTGGTTACAGTCGCTTTTGCCTTTTAGGCATTAAATACCTAAATTCAAGCTGAAGGTGGCTCGAAATCTGAGTGCGCATAAAGTTCTTCAAATTCGTGTTGAGTTCAGAATCAATGAGGCTGCTTAACTTGTAAGATTAACGCTGCTTAACATTTCAGGGACTTCAGGAAAAATTACTTCTATGGGCCATTACCAGCCTTCATTGGAGAGCTAACTGCTCTGGAATCAATGTAATACTCTGAACTCAAAACCGTGCTGCAGTTCCTGCGTTCAAGCAATCTTACATTCTTTTCCTTGAAAATCATAAGGACTGTGGGAATCAATGCACTATCTGGACCTGTCCCAAACGAGCTTGGAAATCTTACCAATCTCTTATCACTGTAAGATCCTCCAATCATGTTATTATCCTGGGTAGTCTTAAAGATGGATATTCTCTGACCATGTTAATGTTCAGTTACTGTCATGCATCTGTTGTCCCGGTTATACTTGATTTTCAATTGCATGAAAGTCACGAGGCTGTATGCCAAGGGCTTGAAGTTTTGCATATACTATGGTCATATATTGAGTATAATCTTATAATGCCGTTTTCTCAACAAGTTAATATGATATTGTGGAAGTGAGAATCTGGCGTAAAAGAATGTGCATCGTCCCAATCAAACATTTACCAGCATTTCGAATTTCCGATTCTCAAAAAGTACTTAACAGCACTTCCATTTGAGCATTTGTTTGGATCTAACTTGGTTTAATTAATTAATTCTTTCAGGGCATTGGGCTCAAATAATTTTAACGGCACACTTCCTGACGAGCTGGGGAAACTGACAAAACTTCGACAAATGTGAGTTGTCTATTTGGTCGCTTTATATGTGTTCTACCATCTATGTTTTTCTTCACTCTTTAAACTGATAAGTATATGCATGGCATAACTGAAAAATGTTATCCATCTTTGAGTTGCAGATACATTGATAGTAACGACTTCAGTGGTCCTCTGCCATCGACATTGTCCCAACTGAAGAATCTGTCAATCTTGTAATTTAGTAAAATAAGATAGCACCTCGTGAATTTGCTCTTCCTTCAGAGGTAGAAGCTAATAATCTTACCCATCCTTTGTCGGTATCCAGGTGGGCATCAGACAATAATTTCAGTGGGCAGATTCCTGATTATCTCGGGAGTTTGACTAACTTGACCCAACTGTAAGATTTATATCTGAAAACCACTAAGGTTTCAATATTTTTCAAATTGTTTTCTCGATATCAATAGTAAAGAAAGTCATTCATTTTTCTGGAGAAGTGCAAGGTTTTTGCATATTTACCTACATCATCTGTTATTTTATAGCACAATTAATTTGTCATGAGGAACCAGCATACGTATTACTTCTCTAATTAAATATCTAATTACTTCTCTAATTAAATATCTATGTACTTACAGGAGGCTCCAAGGGAATTCTTTTCAAGGCCCCATTCCGACAAGTCTTTCTAATCTTGTCAACTTAAAAAAATTGTGAGTCCCTAGTAGTTTCTGTGATTGTAGGATTATTATCGTTGCAAAGATAATAACCATGGCATTAATCATTTCAATGTAACAGAAGAATAGGCGATATAGTGAATGGAAGCTCTCCACTGGCATTCATTGGCAACATGACAACTTTGGGTGAACTGTACGACATGTACCCTCCACATTTTTTTTCAGTTTAATAGCCTAAACATTTAATTATTCAAGGTTCCATCTTTCAGAGTGTTGAGGAATACGAAGATATCTGATACACTAGCATCAGTAGACTTCTCCAAATTTGTAAACTTATACTTATTGTAAGCATGGTTCCCTTGTCAGAAAGTCACAATCAAGTGATAAATTTATATTATAGCTCAACTTTAAGATGATGTTTTTCCTTTTGTTGTCTAATGCTATTTTTCTTATTTCTCACAGGGACCTGAGTTTCAACAATATCACAGGACAAATACCTCAATCAATTTTGAATCTTCCGTCTCTTAGTTATTTGTAAGTTTTACTTGCTGCAGTTTTCATAATCTGTTTGAATGGACATCTGTTTTTTCTTTCTTGTTAACCTTCTGCTGATATTTGCAAATATTCTACTTGAATCAGATTTCTAGGGAATAATAGCCTTTCAGGAAGTCTGCCTGCCACAAAGAGTCCCTCACTGACCAATCTGTATGTTCACATGCTCTTTGTTTTGGCATTGTGCTCAATGAAATATGTTATTGATCTAATAGTTACCTTTTTCTCTGCCTTTTCACAGAGATTTTTCATACAACCATATCTCAGGAAACTTTCCTTCTTGGGCTACTGAGAAAAATTTGCAATTGTATGTTTGTGTTCTGAAACTTCTCTCATGAAAATATACTCCTTAGTTATTGCACACAAAGCCTGCCTGATTGAATACAACAGTAATAGCTAATTCTCTCTATATGTTCTACTTTGTACTAAGGAATTTGTTGGCAAACGACTTTGTGATAGATAGCTCCAATAACAGGTGAGCACCAGTTCGCCCTCAAGGCTAGCATAAAAATAAGTTCCCGTCTTAGCTTGTAATCAGAATTTAAACTAGTAAAACATTTCATCTGCAGTGTTTTGCCATGGGGATTGGACTGTCTTCAGCGCAGTACTCCCTGTTTCCTCGGTTCTCCAAAGTGTAATGCTTCAACCCTTTGGAATTTCGAGCATGTATCTATTTTCTAATATTGGATCTGCAATATTCCAATTAAACACTATTCTGATAAATTGGATGCAGCTGCCTCCTTTGCGGTGGACTCTGGTGGTAGTAGAGCAATATCAGGTTCAGATAATTCCATCTATCAGGCTGATAATGCTAACCTTAGAGCCGCATCATACTACGTTGCGGGTGCACCTACATGGGGTGTTAGCAGCGTTGGATTATTCTTGGATGCAGATGCACCCAATGGAAGTTACATCATCTACAGTTCACGCCAGTTCGAGAACACCCTAGACTCTGCACTGTTCCAAACAGCAAGGATGTCACCATCATCTCTGAGATACTATGGCATTGGACTTGAGAATGGAAATTACACAGTCACACTTCAATTTGCAGAGGTTGACTTTCCAGACATGCAGTCTTGGAAAAGCAGAGGGAGGAGGGTTTTCGATATCTATGTCCAGGTAGCTACAAACTTGTATCTGGCTGGCATCTGATGCTTTTAAATCATATAATTTGTTCTAGATATAGACTTTTATGCTTGATACTTCATGCTTGTTTAGGGAGAGCGCAAGGAGCAGAACTTTGACATTAGAAAGGCAGCAGGAGGGAAATCTTTCACTGCTGTTAAGAAGCAGTATGTTGTTCCAGTAACCAAAAACTTCCTTGAGATTCATCTCTTCTGGGCTGGCAAGGGCACTTGTTGCATTCCTTATAAGGGATACTATGGTCCTGCAATATCAGCCCTGAGTGCAACTCCAAGTACTCACCTGAATTTAAACTTGTTCTACATTGCAGTTATACTACTGCCCAAATGACATTTTGAAGTATCATTCAATATACTAGTGTAGTCACAAAAAAATAGACTCGTTAGTGTGGTATACATGATATGAAATTTTAAATTTGGATGAAAAAACTGTTTTCTTTAATAGAAGAATTAGAACATGGAAATTTGTCGGCATGGTATGTTTATGATGTTGTACAGTTGTAACTGCATATATAACTATAAGCTGGCAGTGGCGGGCCTCAATTGAGTTGAATTTATGACATTTCATACCAAAAGCAGAACATAGAACACCCATGATAAGGGCTGAGATTGCACATTATCCTCTTTATTACTTGGTGGAATTGTAACTATTGTAAATATTGTGTATCAGTGTATGGCATCTCAATTTTGTTTTATATAAGGTTTTCAATGCTCAACTAACTGAACTCTTCTTCAGATTTCGTCCCTACAGTCCGTAGTTCAGCAGACAGCAAGAGCAGCCGTAAAACTGGTGTGATTGTTGGGGTTGTAGTTGGTGTTTCAGTTTTGGCATTGATCGCACTGGCCGGAATCTTCTTATGGTGTCAGAAAAGGAGAAAGCTATTTCTAGAGCTAGAAGGTGCTTGATATACTAATATTACAGTGTGTGCTCAACTGCAAACAGAAAGTATGCTGACAAGCTATTCCGAACCTTGCAGAATTGTATACCAGAGTTGGAAGGCCAAATGTCTTCAGTTACAGTGAGCTCAGGTCAGCTACAGAGAACTTTTGTTCTAGTAACCTACTTGGTGAAGGAGGATATGGATCAGTTTACAAGGTTTGTCACTCTAGTTATCTAGTATATATAGAACTGGATTTGTGTTCGATGTGTGAACTTATGAAGGCTTAAATAAATAGTTAAATGTTGCCTCCTGATGATCTGAATAGACCCAGAAAAGTCACCCTATGACACTTTTATCATAAACTGATGCTTTTCAAGTGAAGCAAAACCTTGACCTGAGTTATGAAATGCCTTGCATAATAGTAAAGATGTGCAACTTTTCTTGCAGGGTAAGTTGAGTGATGGAAGAGTGGTGGCAGTGAAGCAGCTCTCTCAATCCTCTAATCAGGGAAAGATGCAGTTTGCTGCAGAAATAGAAACCATCTCTCGAGTGCAGCACCGAAACCTCGTGAGGTTGTATGGCTGCTGCCTTGAGAGCAACACACCATTGTTGGTGTATGAGTACCTGGAGAACGGAAGCCTTGATCAAGCGTTGTTTGGTATGACTTCACCCATTCTTGTATGACAAAGAGTGCAACTCTAGTTCAGAAATTTAATATGTTTAAAACTTTCATATTCAGGAAAGGGAAGCTTGAATCTAGACTGGCCAACACGATTTGAGATATGTTTGGGCATAGCAAGAGGTATAGCTTATCTCCACGAGGAGTCAACCGTCCGCATTGTGCACAGGGACATAAAGGCCAGCAACGTGTTGATCGATGCCGATCTTAACCCTAAGATCTCCGATTTTGGTCTTGCCAAGCTCTACGATGACAAAAAGACTCACGTCAGCACGAAAGTTGCCGGCACGTTGTAAGTGTATTTTTCATCTCGCCTTTGGGTATAATGCATGGTGTGTTATTTGCAAATGTGATGGAGCTAATGCACTTGGTTAATTCGTGGTTGTGTTTGGCTGTATCATCTAGTGGTTATCTCGCGCCTGAGTACGCCATGAGAGGGCATATGACCGAGAAGGTCGATGTGTTTGCGTTTGGCGTGGTCGCGTTGGAGATTGTTGCTGGTGAATCAAACTATCAGAATACGATGGAGGAAGACACGACTTATATATTTGAAAGGGTAAGATCATCAGAGTGAAATTTGATTACACCATACGCTGAACTTCAGTTTGTCACTGGAAATTCTCAATATCAGAGACTGTGGACACACTGTAGTGTAACGCAGCATCGATATGGTCCTAAATAAATCGTTGAATCGTGCTACGTTTCAGGTGTGGGAACTGTACGAGAACGGGCGTCCGCTGGAGTTCGTGGACCCGAAGCTGACGGAGCACAACGGGTACGAGGTCCTTCGGGTGATCCGTGTGGCGCTCCACTGCACCCAGGGCTCGCCCCACAAGCGGCCGTCCATGTCGAGGGTGGTGGCCATGCTCACCGGGGACGCCGACACGACCGAGGACGTGGCGAAGCCGAGCTACATCACGGAGTGGCAGGTGAAGGTGGCCGACGTCAGCGGCAGCTTCACGAGCAGCCAGGTGGTGTCGTCGTCGACGCAGCCGCAGTCGTCGTCGTCCGGCGGCGGCGTCCAGGCGAGCCCGGAGCCCGGGGACCTGACGCCCGTGGTCCCGTCGCCGCTCTTCACCACCATCATCGATGAAGGCAGGTGACAGCTAGCTAGCCGCAGAAACGTGAAGGCTGACCTGGCATGCATGTGGCGTCATCATTCTTCTAAAATGGCAGCAGGTTTTAGGACCATGCTGTGCTCTGGTTTTGTGGCTATACAGTTACAGCTACGTAGATGGATGATCTTGGGAGAAATTTACTTGATTGTGAGGCTGAAGATTTGTTTTGGAAGGCACTCTGAAATGGCAGCAGGTTTTAGGACGTCGCGTACGGTGGATTTGGCGGTGGTTCGTCATCGTCCCTACCAACCAGCCTAAGCTACGTACCACCCAATAAGCCGTAACGAACGGGCTGGAGAATGGGATGGCGTGTGCTGCGCCGGCGCCAGGCCTGCCGCGTGACACGTCTGGAGAGTGGAGACCCCGACGAACGTTCCAAAGGGATGTATCTGTTGAATTCGGCATGCATCACGTGGCTGGTGCAGCTGTTTAGTATGGCATCGTACGTTCCCTGCTGGGAATGGGCGTACCGTGTCGGGCTGACCTTTCCGGCTCCGTCACACGGCTCTGGCTCCATCACACGTACGCCTTTCTCTTTCTGCTTTCTTCCTCTTCCTCACCGCCTTTTTCGCCCCCCTCCTCTGATATCAGAGATATATATTCAAGTGTGTGAATGTGAATCACGGTATATATATTAGCTGTGCAATGTGGTGCATGCATCCACATGCAAGTCTTCCCACCCCCTTTGATTCGTTAAGCATGTTCGCTGGGTTGTATTTGGCTTATAAGTCATGGCTTATCAGCCAACAAATAGTATTTTTCTCTCACACCAAACCAGCCAACAGTACTTTCAACCATGGCTTATAAGTCAAACAAGCACAAACGAACAGAGCGCTTACACGGCGTGGCGCGAAGTCACATGGGCTAATCGATCAGTGGTTTGTGACGGGGAGAGCACAATCAGTGTTAGCAGCTAAGCAAGCTGAGGACCGTTAGCTAACAACAAACGGTAGGATCAACCGCGCTCAACGACAGCTAGCATTTCCGTTCGATACTTTGATGCAGCTGCTGCCACTCTAACATCAGGGCCTTGTTTAGATTGAAAAAATTTTCAACCCGATGAATAGTAGCACTTTTGTCTTATTTGGTAAATATTGTCCAATCGTGGATCAACTAAGCTTAAAAGATTCATCTCGTGATTTCCAACTAAACTATGCAATTAGTTATTTTTTTTACCTACATTTAATGCTCAATGGAAACGGCTAAAAATTGATGTGATGGAGAGAGAGTGAAAAAACTTGAAATTTTGAGGATATCTAAACAAGGCGCAGAGATCGAATTGCAGCCACAGCTTGCAGCAGGTGCAGCAATGGCAGCTCAACAGACCCGTAATATGCACTTTCGAGTTGTTCGGCTGATGGTTTTTGCGTCTGATATGTCGGCTGATGCTGTTTTGTTGTGAGAAAAAAACAATGTAGCATAACTGATATTCCAAAACATACGTTAACACAGTAACGTTTAGGTATATCCACTTCACACCTATAAATACATACACGTGCTTAATTGTACTCTATTTTTATGATGAAAAACTTTGAGATTAAATCATCGGATCTTAACATCAATGAAATAACCCACGTCTTATTATCGGGAGAAAATTCCTTATTTAGTATAGAAATATGACATGGTTGCTTATGTAGCGTTGAATGATAAATTTTCACTTTTCTTACATTGAACATTTTTTACAGTACAATTTTTTAGACCATGAATATTTTTTGGCAGTACAACTTTGTTTTGCACAAATTATTTATGGCAGTACATTTATATGGACAATGATAATTTGTTTATAAAGTGCCAAACGTACATCAAGTTGCATAAAATTGTACCGTCATAAATAATCTATGCAAAAAATTGCTAATGCCAAAAAATATTCATGGACTAAAAAAATCATATTGGTAAAAAATGTTCAATGTCAAAAAAAAAGTTATTGTGTAAAAAAATATGTGTAATAAAATAAAAGGAGAGATTAGCGTCCGGACGTCCGGACGCCCACGCCTGCTGGCCGTCCGTTTTTAATAATGATACCCTCAGGGCGCATATCGATGCAGCTTTGCTTCGCCTCGTGCTTTTTCGCGCCGTTGCCTTGCCCATGGATGCAGCTCAGCTTCGCCTCGTGCTCCGCGCCTGCTGTCCGCTCAAGGATACAACTTCGTGCTCCGCGCCTGCTGCCACGCCAATGGATAAAGTTTTGTGCTCAGCGTCTACTGTTGCGCCCGCTTCGCTTCCCGTGCGCACGCGGGGACCGCTGCGCTCAAGGGGACCACCTTCGCTCGCGCCTGCTTATGAAACACTTGCAACATAAAGCATTTTCTGCAACATACGTCGAAACAGATGAAACATTTACAACGTACACTTGCAACATATGTGTATGGGCACTGCAACATATGCAACATCTAGATAAAACGCTTGCAATATACGTTTGAAACAACTGAAATATTTGAAGCATACACTTGCAAACATACGTGTATAGCCAGTGCAACATATGCAACATCCAGATAAAACATTTATAACATACATTTGAAACAGCTGAAAACATTTGAAACATACACTTGCAACATACGTGTATAGTCATATGCAACATACGTCTGAAATGCATGAAACATACAGTTACAATATGTGCTCATCTACTTGTTGCCCCCAATGGACGCTCGTTGACGTGGAACTTGACGCTGGCACGGAGCTCAATGCCATGACGCGGAGGTCGGACCTTGGTTGTGCGCAACAAGAGTCTGGGTGGGAGGCGTGAGGTGCGGCGGAGCGCAACGCGAGGCGAGAGCAGCGCACGACGCGAGGCATGAGGCGCGGGTAGGCGGAGGCATGAGGTGCACGAGGCACGAGGCGCAGGCGCTCGTGGCGCCGGGCAGGCGGGTCTGTCCCGTCCGACTGGACGAACGCTCGGTAGAGAGCATTACCGCAAAATAAATTATGACATACTGATGTGGCTACACATGAAACACTGAAACAAAGGCTAAAATGACCTTTTCTGCTCGCAGTTGACAGTGTGAGATGCCAAATAAAACCGTGATATGGAAAGGTTTTATCTTAATTATATAAAAATCACTCGTTTTCTGTGAATCAATGCAGTGACTTTTCTTGTCGGTGAATATAAATAGAGAGTTTTTAAAAAAAAACAAAATAAATAGAGAGTTGAACATGCAGAACATCTGTACACACATTTCTCCTGCGCATGGGAAGGCAGCCAGGAAGCTCGGAAGGTTCGAGGTTTAACGAAAAGAAAGGGGCAAATCCGTCAATTGCTACAGGTAAGGTAACCCCCAGGCTCAGGTGAGCCTGGAGCCGTGTTCCTCGCGCGGTCGCGGGCAGCAAAACCCAACAACCCGCAACTGTCCAGAGGCATCCACCCGACCACCCCCATTCAAAATCTCCCCTCCGGCCCTCCGCTCCGTCGTCGTCTCGTCTCACTCCTCCCCTCGTGATTATCCCCCGGATTCCAAATCCCATCTCCGATTCATTCGGCCCCGGGTTCTTCGCGCGGGCGATGGCAGGGGCTGCCGCGGGTGCGGAGGCGGTGGAGAAGGCGCACGGGCTCTACCGGGGCGGCCGCCACCGGGAGGCGCTGGAGCTCTACTCCGCCGCGCTGGCGGCGGCGCGGGGCCCCGCGCAGCGCATCGCGCTCCACAGCAACCGCGCCGCCTGCTACCTCAAACTCCACGATTTCCACAAGGTCCCGCTCCCGGCTCCCTCTGCTCTGGGTTTGGGTTGCTTTCCTTGGCGGATTGCGTCGTTGCTTTTGATTTGACTTCGCCTCGGTGGTGGCTGCGGGGGAGGGGCGTCCCTTTGGTGCTTCCAAGTGTCAGTTTTGGTACAAAGGATCGAATTTTTTCAGCCATACTTACAGGTGTCCTGTTTCGTTCCGGGTTCAGGGCTCCTGCTATTTAGGTCTCATAGATAGATTGTGTTTTCTGGTCGTCATACAACAATAGGAATGCTCAATTTGGACTGTGGATGGGTTCCATTCTTTAAGGAACAATATGAATGCTCAATTTGAACTGTGGATGGGTTCCATTCTTTAAAGGGGAACTTGTGACACTAGGCATTTGTGTGCAGGTAGTGATACTGTTAATTGAGTACTCCTGTTAATTTGTTATGTCCAAGCTCCTCTAATCTTCAGTCTAGCTTTTGCTTATTATGGTGATCTCTCCGCATTTATCTCAGTTGCTGGTAAAATTTGTGTTCTAAGACGCAACTGAATTCATTAGATTGATTGGAATCGACTTGAGAAGATGCAGTGCTTTTGTTTTGTTTGCTGTTGCCTTACCAAAAATAGCAAAAGTACCAGAAAACATGCAAGGTAGCACGGTATCTGAAAAAAAAAGAGACTTGGATAGCTGAAATTTATGAACGGCCCTACTCAAATGATTCCCAGGCATCATGGCATCATTTATTATTCCCTTTTCTATATCATCATTTTTGTGTTCTAACATTAAATTCTCCATTTGTGACATCTGGTACAGGCAGCACAAGAGTGTACATCTGTCCTTGAGTTGGACACGGAGCATGCTGGAGCTCTGATGTTACGTGCCCAGACTCTCGTTACTCTGAAAGATTATCAGTCGGCTCTATTTGATGTCAACAGGCTCATTGAGATAAATCCGTCGTCTGAAGTATATCGGAACCTGCAGGCACGATTGAAGACACAGCTAGTATGTTTTCAGTTTTTGCTCCCTTCGTTAATTCACTTTGGTTCACCTCCCTGGCATCCTCACCTAATTGTGCCTCGTGTACTTAGCTGACCTATTTTATTGCCCATCTGTTGTACTGTTTTGAAGTCACTAGCCCCAATTCCTGAGTGTGAAGAGGAGTCTCTTTGTCTTGAAGAAGAAAAGGAAGAACTTCCTCCAAAAGTTCAGAAGACTGAGACTTCTATCGCTAAGCCCGACGAACCTGCAACTGAACTGGCTCTCAATAACAAACCTTCAACTGGACCGATTCTCGATAGAAAACCTGCAAGTGAACCTCTAAAGGCT